CGGGTCCTTTCCAAATTTTCTCAACAATGAATTATTTAGTATCTATAACTTCATATTTAGACCTCGGTTCCCACGACTCCGAGGCGGAGGTGGTGAGTGGCTAGTAGCACACATTCCGGGTGACAAACTCTGGTCCGGCTTCCGCAGAGGCCAACTATCCGAAGTTCATAACTTGTTACCAGATTCGTCTGGGATCCACAAGAATACTGCCTTGTACAGGGGCTGGCGCCACAAGTCATGTACAGGCCGCATCGCCTACAACGGTCCATGGAAGTTTGGAAAGGATGCACACCGCATGTTAAAAAAGATTGCTCAATAAGTTAACTGTATCGCTTCACACACAGCTTGTATTGGCGATTTATTGTCTTTTTAAGCTAATATTAGTCAAAGTTTCTATTGTGGCGAGAGGTGGTTGACCGCATTGAAACAAGGCCTTTGATTAGATTAGTGTTAACGTAGTTCGGAGCAGTGCTCTATATAGTTTGAAAGTTCACCTGTTATGCATCTCTATGACGCTTGAAAAGTCCATATTTCAAAGTTGTTTTTTAGAGAAAGAGAAAATCATCATCAAGCTTTCGCAACCCTCATCGCAATCATCAGTGGCTGAAAGCCATTCTCATGGCGAAAACTCCATTCGTTCAGAAAACCCTGAAGTGCCGTGCTCTTCTCTCGAAAAGCGACCGCTCTTTTCAGCAGAATCAGGAATACCAGGTACTGTTGACAAATGGAAATACGCTTTGACCACCGAACTGCTTGGTTTTTTTTACACTCATTTGGAAATTTCAGTTCTGCTTGTATATGTACCGGGGAGGGGGCAAAAAACTTTTCTTCCTCGACTTTCAGAGCGATATAAGTTACACTTTATCAAATACTGATTAGGACATTTTCACCATCAAATCAACAACACATTGTACACGGTCACGAAACTCCGCCACAGCCTTCTGGACGAACGCCATCGAGAGATTCTGCCACGCGACCGTGATTCGGTACCTGAGTTCAGCGAGGTCGTTGATTTCTCCGCCACTGTAGACCACCCTGTTGAGCTCCTCCCGAACCCGGTAAGTC